CCCTTTCTACGGCCAGACTTCCGAGTCCTTTCCTACCCCCCCCCCGACTGCTACATTTTTCAACAGCCCACAAATCCTCTTCCTCCTCTTCTACGGCCCACGACCTTCTTCTGGTCCCACTCTCCTCTTTGCCACCCCTACTCTCAAGACGACGAGTCGAGAGCGAGATGGATGCCCCGCCGCAGGCTCGGAGATGCAGCGATGCAGAGTCGGAGCAGGAGGGGCCAGGGGAAGAAGGTGGAGTAGGAGGGCGCGGAGGGAAGGGGGAAGATCAGGAAAAGGATGGAGAATCTGCACGCGCAGCGCTCGCGAGCCGCGAGCTGTCTCAATGTCAGATGTCTCCGACTCCGACGCGCCGTTGCCGCCGCCGCGAGCGGAAGGAAAGGGCGAGGGGGGCGGATGGGCACCCCCTCTTCCTATTCCTTGTCCTCCTCATTCTCTTCCTCATCCCCATCCTCACCCTACTGCCCCCCCCTCCCCCCCGCTGCCCCTCAACCCACCCCGCCCTCTGATTCGCGACAGCGGCATCGGCGCGTCGGAAATGGCGGCCTGCCCCCGCCCTCGGCGCGCCCCCTGGCCGAGGGGTGGCAGGGGCAGGCTGGCGGCGGCGGCGGCGGCGGCGGGCGGGCGCGCCGGCGGGCCGGGGGCCGTCGGGGCCGAGCGGCCGTTGCGGCTCGAAGCTCATCGCGCCGCGAAGCCGCCGACGCCCGCCGCCTTGCGCGGCCGCTTCGCCGCAGGCGCGTCGCCCCACTCCATGGGGACGCGGTAGCACTTCACACCTGGGGAGGAGGAGGAGGAGGAGGAGGAGGTAGGAGGTAGAGAAAGGAAGAGGATGAGGAGGAGGAGGGGGAGGGGAGGGGGGGAGGGAGGGAGGGAGGGAGGGAAGGAGCGAGGAGGGGAAGGAGGAGGAGAGGGAGGAGGAGGAGGAAGAGGAAAAGGAGAAGGAGGGTGGAGGAGGAGGAGAATGAAAAGGAAGATGAGGAGGAGGGCGATCATTCCCTCCCTGCCTCCTCTTGCCTACTGCCTCTCTTTTCTCTCCCGCACTCCGCCTTGCTTCCCCCTCGGCGCCCGCCCCCCACCCCCTCGCCGACCTCGTCGCTCGCCCGCCCCCCCGCTCCGCCCGCAGGCGCAGCCCACTCCATTCCCACCCCCACCACCTCCCCCTAACCTTCTCCCACCTGATGGGCCGCGCGGCCGTGCAGCTGCGGCAGCGGCGACGGCAAGGGGCTTGCCGTCGCCGCTGCAGCAGCCGCCTCCCTCGTTTACCCACCCCTCCCCCCGCGTCCCGATACTGCCGCGCTGTCACGCGGCCATTTGGATAGCTCCCCCGACCCACGACGTCGTGGAAACTTGGGTTGTCCACAACCATGGGGACGCAGTATTCCCAATCCTTGAGGTAGCTGTCGCTGAGCAGCTTCACGCGCTCGAACTGTATCATGTGGGTCGGCTTGGGCGGCTCGACCTTGGCTGAGGGGGCGGTCAGGCTATGGCAGAAAGGAGTGGAGGAAAGAGAGGGAAGAAAGAACCTTCTTCTTGCCCTTCTTGGACTCCTTCTTCTCACCCTCCTTCGCATCCTTCTTCTCCGCTGACTTCGGGAGCACTGGGATCAGCCAGGCAGGGCAGCATTCACTTTTGTTCGCGTTCATCCAGCCGCTGCCGTCGAGGTACAGCGCTGGCTGGCCTGGTGCAAGCTTGCGCGGGTTCAGGCTGATGCACGTGCCTGGGCGAAAGGGCTCGTGCTCGCTCGCTCTCTCGACTCTCGATCGCCCCCCTGCTCCGCCTGCCCTGCCAGGCCAATGCCGTGGCCGCCGCGCGAGCGGCTGCCGTGGGCCAGGACGCGCAACTCAACCTCCGCTTCCCTTCCCTTCCCCCTCCTCGCCCTCCTCCGACGCCTCCGACTCCGACCCCGACCTCTCCTCCCACCCACTGCCAACTCCTCGTTCTCGCCCACCCCCCCACCCCATCGCCCACCTCTCCCTCTCCAAACCCCCTTCCCCTCCTCCAGCTCCAGCCACTTAGATTTCGATCCCGACTCGCGCGCGTCGATCCGACTCCCCGACTCCGCATCCCGCATCCCGACTCCGCATGCTTCCCCTTCTCCTTATCATCCTTATCCGTCTCCCTCTCCCTCTTCCCAACCCCCTCCTCCTCCGCTCCTCGTCATCGTCTCCTCGCCCTCCTCCGCCCCCATCCGCCCCCTCGCCCTCGCCCTCGTCGCCCCCCTCCTCCTCCCCCGACTCCTCCTCCATGTCCGCCGCCCTGATCCCGCCCCTTCCCGCTTCTCTATCTCTTTGCCCCAGCGCCCCAGCCGCGCCTTTATTCAGATATTGCGCTGTGTTCGCGTCGACCACTTTGCCCCACATGCACAGCCTGGTGGGCCCCACCTCGCGCCGGATGATGCAGTGGCGCTTGACCTCGGGGGCGGCGCCGTCCTCGGGCGAGGGGCGGGTCGCGGAGAGGCGCGACGATGGCGACGACCAAGACGCGGGGAACAAGACTAGAGATGAAACGACACTTGCGACTGTGACTCGGCGACGAGAGGCAAGAGAGGGGGAGGGGGGGAGGGGGAGGAGGAGGAGGAGGAGGAGGACTGCATGGGAAGATGAGGAGGAAGGAAGATGGTGTGAATATTTATTTTTGCCCGTTCGTCCTCGATCAGCACGTCAGCAGCAGTTCCCCCTCCTCGCCAGGCGTCGCGTACCAGATATACCTTGCAAAACGAAAGCAACACATGCAGCGACAAAAAACACCGAATTCAGAAAATCGGCAAACCAAATCTAACTGTTAACTTAGATTCCGTGCCCTAGGGATACCCGCACGGCCACGGCGTCCGATTTGGCACCGACCATATCATCAAGATGGCCTGCGGGTCTTGCTCGCCCCTCCTGGATCGCGCCCGCGGCCCCAGCGCGCAGCCCCACGTTGGCAAAAGCCAAACCTCTGGCACATGGCCGTGTCTGCTCGCGAAAGGCGGGAAGTGCCACACAATGGGGATGCGCACCGTCAGGGGCAGCTCGATGAGCGCTGGGGCCCACGGCGGGCGGGGGTCTGCAGGCTGCGGGTATAGAGATGGCACGTGCGGTATTGCAGGGGGAGATGAGTAGTACCCTAAGTCCAAGGTAGACCCACGGAGCCATCTGAACTGTCCAGGTCGATCACCGAGCAAATACTCAGGATAAGGACAATTGGGATCAGGATTGGAGGCAGTCTCGATAGGGCAGTCGGAGTCGGAGTCGACAGGGACGGGGACGTCCTCTGCCGCAACCATTGGCTGCCCCAGCCCACCGATGAAACAGTTGAGCCAAAACTGCAGGGGGATGGAGGATAAAAGCAGGACATTGCGAAATGCGCGGCCGTCGAAGCAGATGCCAGAGAACTAAGAGGAGGAAGCAGGAAGAGGAAGCAGACGACGACCGCAACGACGAGGGCGATAATGGACACCCCGCTCTCCCATCGTTTCCCCCGCCCACCCCCTGACTACGATTCGCCAGGGCGAAGAGAGGAGGGCGGGGAGAGCGACGACGACGCCGACGAGGAACCACGAGGAGGCATGATATGGAAGGACATTGATGATAGGTCGTGGAAGCGACAGCGCCACACCCCGCCAGCAGGGTCGCAGCTGCGGTCCTCGCTGGGGCTCGGAAGCATGCCATCTGGCGCAACCCTCAGGCACGAGTTCTCCTTCGGCTCGCCCTCCGTGGTGGGCCTGCTGTCCAAGGTGGAAAGCAGCTGGGCCCTCGCCAGCCCCATCAGGTAATCCTGAACCTTGCTGGCAGCGTACTTCGTGATGAAACCAGTCACGCAGTCCGAATCCTCGCGGGCAGGTCAAGGAATACCTGCGCCACCGCGGCACTTACCTTCGCGCTTCGCGCCCAGCTAGACACGGCGCGCGGGCGCGGATACCTTCGTGCCCTCGCAAGACCGAAGCTCTCAGAGGTTGGCGCCTAAGACGGGACTGGGCGCGACGTTCGATGCGCCGTGGGCAGTTGTCTTCGCGTTCGCCCACTCGGAGTTCGGGGGCTGGCCTTGGGCGCAGACTGCCAGTATGCCGAAGCCAGCTGGGGGGGTGCCTTTACTGAGAAGGGCAGAGGGAAAACGAAGACCGATGGGGAATACGACAAGGGGGAGAAGGAGGGAAAAGGACGACGGAAGGCAGAGAGAGGGAAGTGCAAAGGACTGACAGAGGAGGGCAGGATGACAGGAAGGACGAGGCGTCCTCCTCCTCCTTCTCCTTCAAGCGGCCCCACCATCTGTCCAGGGGCACCTCGCACATCTCCACGCATTCCCGCGAGCGCCCCTGAACCGCACTGCCTGCACCTGCCCCGTTGCCTCATGGCGAAGCGACACACGAATGGCGAAACAAAACATCTCACATGTGCCCATGCGTTGCCAACGTCAGCCAGCGCGGGTCAACTCTCACGTCCATCCCCCCTCGTGATCTGTCTCACCCTTCTCCACCACTCTCCTCAGCCTCTTCCACCCCCGCTCCCTTTTTCCCCGTCCCCTTGGTCGCCGCGTCGCCACGTCGCTTGCCGCCGCCCTCATCCTCGGCAACGTGGAGGGGGGTGAGCCCGCGGGCTACTAGTGGGGCCGAGGGCTGCAAGGCCCTGCAAGGCCGTGGTAGAAGGGGTTGGGGGGTCGCGCTGCATCGCCGCTGCATCGGCGGCGCGGCCTCGACGCGGGCCCAGCCCCCCCTCGCGCAAGCGTCGCCGATGCATCGCCGACCGACATCGCCAACGCAGATGCGCCCCCGACGGCCCGACGCTGCGCCATCTTTCGCGCTGCTACCCCTGGGAGCCAGCCCCTGCAACCAGGACAATGACAGCGACTTGGACGACGCCCAGTTGCCGTCGCTGGTGAACGTCGCCAGGACCTGGGCCTGCTGCGTCTGAGGCGGCAGCGGCGGCGGCGCTGCGATTGTCTTGAGCTTCCCGAACACGGCGGCAACGACGTCGGCAGCCATCACCTTCGCGTTCACCGACCGAGCGTGCTCCTGGACGGGGGGTGAGAGGAGAGCGGGGAGGAGGGCATGGGGGGGTTGCGGCAGGAGGGCTGCAGGCCCCAGCCAGGCATGCGACAAACCATGCGGGGGCAAGGACGGGCCCAGGAGCCGCGCCTCCCGAACTTATGGCATCGCTTTTCCCGATCGGTCCTTGTCGAAGTTCGCCAGCGCATTCGCCGTCAACTTGACCCGCTCATCTGGGAACACAGCAAGATTTGCAGGGACCATGTCTGCCGAGACCGATTGTATGGAAGCCTGGTTCGCCTTGAAATATTTTTTGATGTCCACTGCAGATCCGCAAGTGAGAATCTTCTGCAAGCTGCCCCGTCTGGTCTGGTACGCGTGAGGGTCTGCAACCGCGATCTCGTCGACGACCTCGAACGTGACAGTGATCACCATCATCAGCGCCTGGAGGCGCAGGAGGAGGAGGAGGAGGAGGAGGAGCTGAGGAGGAGCCGAGGAGGAGGAGGAGGAGGAGGAGGAGGAGGAGGAGGAGGAGGAGTGGGGGGCGAAGAGGGGGACGCGAAGGAGGAGGAGGTGGAATCATGGATGGAGGGGAAAGAAGGGAGGCTGGGCGAGGGGGGCGCAGGAGTAGGGGGAGGGAGATGGAAGGGGGGAAGGGAAGAGGGGGGGGGTGGAGGGGGGGGGAGGGGGGGTGAGGGATGGCGAGCAACCTTCGGCCCGCGACCCCGCCCCCCCACTCCTCGGGCCCTCGGGCCACGCCCCTGGCAAGGAGGGGGGAGAGGACAGGGGGTGGGCACCCTGATTGAGGCTCGGGCACGGGGGCCGGTAGGGTTCGAGAGGCCACGTTCGCCCCCTGGAGACCTCAAGCCAAGAGATGCCCTTGGACTCCATCAAGGCATGCAGGAGGTTGCCTGGCGTCAGCTGGTTGTCATCCTCGAGCGCAGGGTTGCTGGCCTCTTCCAGGGCCTTCAAGACAGGGCTCAACGACTCCGAGACATAGGGCTTGCTCTCCATGGACGGGCCCATGCGGCAAGGAAATTGATGGGACCCCAAACTTGAGATGATGTACGTCGCGAGCTGGGTGCGCATGCGCCTCACGAACTTGAGCCCCATCTTCTTGTCGAGCATCTTGGTCACCATTTCGTTGTCCGCGAAGATGCTCGGGCCAGTCGACTTGGTCAAAATCACGTCGCGGCACCTCCCCGCGGCGTCCCAGTCCAGCGGGCAAACGGCCAGCGCGGCCTTGCTCGCCTACAACGGCATAGATGAAAAGGAAGAGAGAGTGCGATATATATATATAGAGAGAGAGGGATCGCATCGCGGGTGAACGAGAAAGAGGAGGGAGCGCCAGGGAGAGAGAGAGAGTGAGAGAGAGAGAGAGAGAAGAGAGAGGGAGCGAGAGTGAACGAGAAAGATACATACGAAATAGGGAGCTAGAGCGAGAGAGAGGTAGAGCGGGAAGAAGAAGTGGGCCTCGGTCGCGAGCGTGCGAATCGCCTCGAGCTGCGAACCGAAGGAGCCGCCGTTCCTGCTCAGCTCGCCCAAGACCGCCATGAAGGCCACCCCAGCCGCCCCCGCGGCCCGCGTCTGCGCCATCAGAGGCGCCTGAAAGTTGCGGGCTCTCGCCGCCGAAGGCGATAGGGGGATGGACAAAAAGATGTGCACTTGCTCCGAGTAGATGGGGTTGGAAGATGCTGCATCGCCGATGCATCGGTTCGTCCCGCGCCGAACCGCATCGGATCGCATCGCAGTTGCATCAGATCGCATCGCATCGCCGATGTAAGTGGCGCATCGAACTGCAACGCTGCAACGCCTACTGCGTGGGCCTCAACGCGCGACCCCTCAACCCCATCTACTATGAATCCGCTTGGGATCCCAAGAAAGGGGGCAAGGGGTCGAGGAGGAATGAAGGTCAAGGAGGGGGCAGAGGCCGCAGGAAGAGTGACTAGTAGGGGCCGCAGCAGCAGGGGGGGAGCATGAGTAAGAATAGCGAAGGAAGGGCGGGCGGAGGAGCGGTGGAGGAGGGAGGGGCAGCAAAGGATGGAAGGAAGGAGGTAGGAACGTATGGTCAGAGAGCGATTGGCCCTTTGGCCACCCGAGCTAACCTCCAAAACCTTGTGCTCCTCAACGTGGGAAATAAGCTCAGCCATGGGGCCAGCGCATTCGCCCACCTTCTCCATCAGCTCTTGCTCGGTCGGCCCCGACCACAAGCCGTCGTCAACGCGCAGCACCCGCGCCAGCTCGTGATCATTGCCCGCCTCCTCCTTCAGCATGTCGAAATCAACGTCGGAAGGTCGAGCCTGGAGCTTTGCGCGACGGTAAATCTCTTTCTTGAAGATTGTCCGAAGGAGGCACCACCCTTTCACCTGTTTCGTCTCATCGTGGTCCAGCGTGAGGCGGACGCCCTTCTCGTCGCAGATGACACAGTACAGAGCAGAGAAGCGAAGCGACACAATCAAATTCACGCTCTCCTTATTGGGGGGCATCGGCTGTCGTCCGACCGCTGCCGCTCGACCGTCGTCCGGCCGTCGTCCTCAGTCCTCAGTCCGACCGTCGTCGTCTCACAGTCGTTCCGCCGTCGGCTGCTGACCGTCGTCATTTGACCGTTGACCGACCGTCGTCCGACAATCGCCTGACCGTCGTCCAACAGTCGACGTGACCGTCGCCCCGTCGTCGCCTGACTGTCGTCGCCCGAATGCGATTGCCATTGGTGTCCGACTGTCGCACGGCAACCGCCGTCGCGTGATTGTCGCCCGCCGCCGCCGTCAGACTGTCGCCCGACTGTCTGACTGTCGCCCCCCGACCGAGACCGTCGCCTGACTGCCGTCTGACCGTCGTCGCCCGACCGCACCGTCGCCCTACAGCCGCCCCCCGCCCGCTGCACTCGGAAGGGGAGGGGGGCGGGGCGCGCGGGAGTAGACGACGTGGGACATGGGTGAGGGCATTGGATGGCGGGTTCGCCCCAGCGTCCGCGGCACCCCGAGGTCCTGATTTTCGCCAGCGACCTTGCTCAAGTACTCCTCGGTCGCCGTCAAGTGGTCCAAGAAGGTTGTCACGCACCCGCCCAACGTCCCCTCCTGCCGATGACGTGCGGGGCGGGATAAGAGGGTAAGCGATGGCGTCAATTGGATAGCGAATTGGATTTCGGTTCCCACTCCCTCATCCCTATCTGGCCGCCCTCACCCTTCGCCCACATGACCTCATCATTTCCCAGATGTCCCTCCTCTCTCTCCCTCCCCCATCATATCTCCATTCCGTCTCCTCCTCCTCCTCCTCCTCCGCCTGCGCCCCTCCAGCCTCCCACCAACCCCCAGCCCTCCGCCCCTATTATTCTCCCCCGTTGCCCAGGGCTCCTCGATCTTGGAGGCTGTCTCCCTGATCTTTTTGGCCTGCACCCTCCCCTTTGCCACCATCTTGCTCACGATCTTCCTGCCGATGGCGCTCGTCATCTTGTTGCCCTTTTTTGTCGCCTGCTTGATCACCGAGGTCTTGTCTTTGTTGCGCTTCTGGCTCATCTTGTCCTCGGCCTTGGCGAGCTTCTTCTCGCGCGCCTGCTTCTCCTCGGGGCTCAGTGCGAACCCATGCATGAGCAAGGAGAAGCGGCGCCGCCGCCAGGGTAAACAACCGCAGAGCGCACCACACTCGCGAGTTAAAAGCCGCGCTGTCGCACGAGCTACCCCCATGCCTCCCCCTCGGGAATGGGTTGTGTACCGCATCGCTCTTGGCGCCCTGGTGGCGGCGGCGTCGCTTCTCACCCACCCGCTCATGGGGGGCAGTTGCTACGCGGGCCCTTGTCCTTCCATATGCTGGCAGTGACTTTCGCGTCCTCCATGGGGGTGAAGTATCCGTCGAGCACGGCCTGGGTGCATCTCTGAACGACGATCGGCACTCCATCTGGCAGCAGGCGAGATGCGCCCCACCCCTTGCCGGACCGAGGGAGCCACAAGCTGATGATGTCCACCGCGTACGCCGCGTGCTGGCCCTTGATCTTCCTCGGCGCAGGCCCGACGCAGCCACGCATGTGGATGGCAGGCGGGCGGAGGCAAAGGAAGAGGGACATAGAGGGAAGGGGGGCCAGGACAAGCTAGGGGCGCACTCGGCGCCACAACTGACATCCTACCACATCCACCCCCCATAGTGCGATGACCCCCCATCGGCTTGCCGAGGTGGGAACGCGCCCGCGCCCAGCGTTTCGCCAGTGCGAAGCTTCGCAGCTAAGTCGCCCCTCAAACCATCCACTGATCACGCGCGCGGCAACGGGCGACGCAGCGCGACGCGCGGCCTGGCGCCTCCGCCTATGGCAAGGGCGCCACAGCTTAACGCCATCACCCTGGGCGGGGGCGCCGCGCGAGCCGCCCCTGGACAATGCGCAGCATGGGTGGCAGTCGATCTCGCCGCCGACGTACGCGCCGCCCGCCAGGTCCCATGAGCGGCGAGCCAATCGCTCCATCCAGGGTGGCTGAGGGCGACCCCGTCTCTGGGCGATATCGCTCTTCGGGCGCGCGGATTGCAGCGGGGTGGGCTCAGCGCGGGGCGCGGCCGTGAGCTCAAGCGGCGGCGTCGCCCAATTGGCGTCTGACCCGTCGTCGCTTACGACCCCACTGAAATTACAGCGTCACGTTGGCGCTTAGCCCGCAGGTGGGCGGGGCGGGGGGCAGGGGGCGCCAGGGGGGTGGGGAGGGGGAGAAGGCGTGACAGCCTGATGAGACTATAGGGGAGTCGGATGAGGAAGGGGGGGGGGGGGGGGGGGTGGAGGCGGGAGGCAGGGAGGTAGGGGGAGGAGAAAATATGAGCCTGATATTTCCTCGCCCTCCTCCCCCTTCTATCCCCCCTCCCTCCAGTCGCCCGCCCCTCCCCCTCCAGTCGCCCAGCCACCCGCGCCGCTAACATATCTCCGCGCCGTTCCCCATTCCATTGCCAGTGAGAGCGCTGCAAATGAAGAGGAGGGGGGGTACCAGTGCGAGCAAACGGATCCTGAACACTTCGTAGCACACGTGGATGATCTTGTCGTAGTGTGTCGCGTCGCCGCAGGTCAGGTCCACCTCCTGCTGGACGACGTGTACTAGGGCGTCCCAGATAGTCTCAGCGTTCCCGAAGCGCTCCAGCGGACTCATCTTCTTGGTCTGGGCGTCCTCGGGGGGGGAGCGGCCCGAACCGTCGCGCTCCACCGTCGCGCCGACGTCGCCGCGACACTGGCGACGGACATCGCCGCCACAGCCGTTGCGGTGACGACTCCGACGATTCGACGAGGGCGACTACGACCACAACAAGGAGCAATCCTCCTCGTCGCCCCCCATGCTTCCCTCCTCATCGGGCTCCTCCTCCGCGTCCTGCCTCCTCCTCCTCCTCACCGTTCTCCGAGAACGTTGTGCACCCTAGTGCTTCCTGTCCCCTATCCCGTTTGCCTCCGCCGCGGCTCCTTGTAGAATATTTGGCACAGCTCGTAGCTGTGGTAGGACGGCCAGCGCGCGGGAAAGAGGGCATTCGCAAGCTCGTACTTCAAACTGTCCTTGCTACCCTTGAGCTGGCCCTCAATCCACGTGCCGCTCTTCTTCTTCCGAGCCCACGTGGCCTCTACGACCTGAGTGCTCCGAAAAACCTCAAGTATGGTCGTCACCGTCACGTCCTTGTTGAAGCGATTCCCCATGTAAACAAGGAACTCTCGAACAAACATGGCGCACTTCCTAGAATATACTTTACTGTTCGGGATGCCGTAAGAGACGCTGTACTGGGACACCCAAGAAATCAGGAACAAGCAACGTCGACAACGGGGATGCGGCGCATGGGCGCCCGCGGGCCAAACCCAGCAGCCCCCGAGACCTCTGCCCACTCGCAGGCCTTGCCCCAGACGTTGGGGGAGTGGGGATGGAAGGGAGGAGGGGCGGGTCGGTGCGATAGGATGAGTGCAGGGCAGGTGGGAGTGAAAGACGGATGAGCGGGAGGAGAGCTGCGCAATCTCCAGATGCCCACGTCTACCACCCTTCCCCAAGCGACCCCGTTGGTTGGGGCCTTATTGCCCCTAACACCCAAGCGCGCGCATCCCCTGTTGCAGCTGAGGGAGGGGGGGGGAGGGGGCTGGAGAAGTTGGAGGCTCCCAATGCAACGTCCTGGACAGCTCTGTTCTCTTTCTTGACGTCGGCTTCCCACGCGCGCCTTGCGCCTGCGACGGGGCCCCGCATCATGAGAGCGGGCGAAGTGGGGGCAGGAGAGGGCGACGATGAAACGAGCGGGCGATGAAGGGCCAGACGCGCTGGACGCCCGCCACATCGCCCCCGCTCCTTTCCCCAGGGCCCATCGCAACATTGCTCGTGCAGGACATGAGGTTCCAAGAATTTTGGCGCGAGCATGAGGCGCAGATATCTGACCCCTCGGAGGCAACTGCTTTCCCGAGGCTCCAAGGATGCAAGGGCGCGAGCCACGATGTGATGCAGTCTGCAAGGACTCGTTGCCACCCAATGATCTCAGGAGAAACATGACGCATTTAAGAAACGGCGTTGGCCGCGCTGGCCCGCCTAAGCGACCCGCAACTAAAGTTCGAGACAAACGATTCCTGAAGTAGGAAGGCGCCAGCATCAGATCGGAGTATGGGCATTCGTAAATATATGAAATATTTAATGACAGCAAGGGGGTGGTACGCTTGGGGCCCAGCCGCTGTCCTTCGCACAGCGTAGCGAAGTGCTCGGTGTAGAACTTCTCATGCTCATTCGGGTCCTCGTGTTGCGTCACCCACGCCCCGCCCCGCAGCTCGGTCAAGATGCCCACCGACTCCACGCTCTTCTGCCTCTGGAGCTGGGAGCTCAGGTCGCCTGCTCAGGGGGCGAATCGGCGACGGACGCTACACAATGGCAGCAGACGCACGACGACATACAATTACGCTTGACCATGACGGATGGGCAAATGACGAATATCCTCCCTCCACCCTCCCCCTACTGCTTCCCCCGTCACTCCCATCGCCTCCTCCCGCCAAATTGCCCCGTTTACCCCAATCCGTCTGTCCTCCCCCCCCCCCACCATCCGTCACCGCTCCAACCCGACAGCCTCCATGAGCCCCCGTGTCTCTCCCATGCCCCCCACCTTCCTTATAGTTCCCCCCCCCTGTCCGGCTTTCCCCCGTCGGCCAACGTCGGCGCCGCTTTCGCCGACCCCGTTGACCTCTCTGGTTGGCTGGAGAGCGAGTGACGGCCCAGTGGCCCTGGCTGTCCACGAGCTGGAGCCTGTAGTTGGCGTGCACTAGGCACGGGCTCGCATCGATCGCGTTCATGATTTCAATATCCAGCGAACCATCTGCGAATATCTCGCGCACGTCGTGGAACGTGCCAGTCGTGTCGAAGAGGTCGGAGGGGCCGCACCCCGCGCGGTAGGCAGCAGTCATCGCGATGCCGACGCAGGTCGCCTCGCAGCGGCCGCAGGGGGCAGGGGCACAGAGGCGACCACGACAACGACGACGGCGTCGGCTGCGACAACGACAACAATGACGACGATGACGACGCACACGGCGACGACGCCGATAACGACGAACACTACGACGCAGACGATTGCGACGAAAACGAAAACCACGACGACGACGAGAAAGGACCCTCGACGAAGTCGACCATGGACGACGACGTCGGCGACGACAGTCAAACTGGAGACGGCTGACGACTGACGCCCCATGCCAGACGACTAGGACGACAATGGCGATGACAGCGCCGACTGCGACTGCGACGACGAGGCCGACGACTCGGCTACAGCGCACACATGTAATGCAGTGTGTGTGTGTGGGCGCGCACGCCCGTGCGCCGTCGCGTGCACGCGCAAGTGCACGCTCGCGTTGCACGTGAGACGCGGCGTTCGCAATGCTGGAGCGCGCGTTGCACACTCGCGAAATATAGAGCGCAGGCGGTGCGTCGTGCGCGCGAGGGGATAAGGATTGTGAGCAGGGGGAAGGTGACGAGAATGATTGCGAGCATGACATTTTACATTAGTTGTTGCGTTGTGTGTATATTAATTACATTTTTTTGTGCTCGAGCGAGCGCAAATCTTCATTTCGACAGGCGGCGGCAAGCTGCGAAAGTGGAAGCTCCCAGAGGGCAGCTGCCACGGCCATGGCAGGGCCCAGGGCGGCAAGCCACGGCCGTGGCAAGGGCCCAGGGCGCCAAGCCACGGCCGTGGCAAGGGCCCAGGGCGGCAAGCCACGGCCGTGGCAAGGGCCCAGGGGGCCAGCCACGGCCGTGGCAGGAACCGCCGATGTGTACCACGGGCGTGGCTGCTCCAAAGGTGATTTGCCACCGCCGCGGCGTGCCACGAACGTGGCTTGCCACGGCCGCGGCTGCGGCAGCGTCCGTGCCACAGGCGTGGCATGGCAAGCGCGCGCATGCCATCTGCGTGGCAGTGACCTGGCCCGCCTGCCACGCGCGTGGCATATCCCCCATGCCGTGTACCACAGTCGTGGCGGCGGCAGCTGCCGCATGCCACGTGCGTGGCTTGGGCAGCTAGCGCCATGCCACGTCTGTGGCTGAACGCTCGTCTGCCACGGACGTGGCAATGAGCAGTCGCGCAGCCGCGGATGCGGCAGCTCCCATGGTGCATATGCCACGGCTGTGGCTGTGGTACCTGCCCCATGCCACAGTCGTGGCGCACGCCGTTCGTGTCTGGCCACTACGGTGGCTGCATACCGCCCTGTCGTGAACGTATCATTGCGTGCGCACGCTTGCCACGTGCATGTCGTCGTCCCCAGGCTATATGCGCGTCAACGATGTTGCGGCCCGTGTCCTGTGCCTCGGGCGTTACTCAGGCCGCGCGCCGCGCCATGTCACGCACGTGGCGGCGTCTCTACATGTCGCGGGCGCTGCGCTGCTCTAGCGCGCGTGCCACGCGCGTGGCAGCCCCCCTAGGCTACGCGTCATCGCCGCGGCTCTGGCAGCTGCCCCATGCCACAAGCGTGGCACACGCAGCCAGCTATATGCCGCGGGCGTGGCTGTAGGCCCATTTGCCACGTATGTTGTTGGGCCCGCTGGCCCATGCCATGCGAGCGCGCAATGCCCCGAGCACGCGCTATGGACGCGCCTCGGCGCCGCGGGCGCGCGCGGCGCAATTGGCCAGATCAGAACGCTATTGCATTTGCTGCCTCTGGCAGCGACGCGAAGCGCCGCGTTTGCGCCGAGGCCTGGGGCAACGCAAAACACTGTGCGTGCGCCCACGCGCACGCACAACACACCGCGCGCCCACGATGTGCTATTGCACGCAATGTGCACCCGCCGTGGCGTGCACGCGCGCGGTTGCGTTGGAGGGTGCAGCGCGCGCGCCCTGGCAAGCGGCGCGCGCGTTGCGCTCATTCGCCCGTGCCTTCATCAGCGCGCGCGCGTGCCGCGCACCTGACATACTGCATCGTGCCACCACGGCATGTGTGTGCTCTCAACCGCGCATGCGCAGTTTGAATGTCGCGGTCGCCTTCTGAGCACATGGGGGTCAGCAGTGTCAGCAGCACCACGTCGCCCACGCACTCGCCCGACGACAGCTCCTCCCCTGCAACGATAATGTCGTGGGGGTTGAAGACGGCGGCCTCGTCGCCGAGCGCCGCTTCAGCGCCAGTAGTGGTTGGCCAGCCCAAGGATAACGTCAAGGACGACGTGCAAAAAACAAAAAAGTGAATGTTCATTGACCTTCATGCAACTGAGCATGCACCCGCTCGCCTTGCAGCAAACGGCCACAAGGGCCCCGCGGGCTCGCCGAGCCACTCTACGGCACGGCGCCGCCACCATCAACGCAGAGGCGGCACTGGAAAACATCTTCTGGTTCTTCGGCGAAGGAAGCACCGCAGGCCAAGTGCCACGGCAAGAGGCACGTGGCGCAGACCATCATGTCGCCACCTGCGCCTCGGACGCCTTCTGGAGGAACGCTGGACAGGCACCAAGAACACTCCATTGCGCCTGGCTGCTGTGGACCAGGGTGGATGGTAGCACGATAGTACTTCTGCACTGTCAGACACCACTCGGGCATGCGAGGCCGCTCGTGCGCACGCACCTTCAACATTATGGCGCCAGTGTCGCGGATGAGCACATCGTGAAGCATGTCTGTCATTTGCATCGTCGGCACCACGTAGCCAATGATGTAGATGATGCCCCCACGAGCATCGAGGGCGAGCGGGCGACACACGCCGACGTCCTTGGCCCACCTGACGAAGATGACCTCGTCAGTCTCACGCATGCGCACAAGGGATATCACGCC